AATTTTTTATAAAGAATATTTTATAATCTTACTTTATATTATATTATTTATTATAAGCTATTATAAAATCATATAATATCTTTATTATAAATTTATATATATTATATATTTATTAAACTCTTTTAATTACTAAAGTACTTATATACTTAACCTAATTTAAAAAAGTCTAAGTACCTTTAGCTATATATTTAACTTAAGATATTATAAAACTAAAAGCTTAAAGATTATATTTAAATAAAAGCTAAAAAGAAAATTATTTTATAAATAAAGATTATATTATATTATATATAAATTTAATAAAAAGTAATTTAAAAACTTAATTAAGCTAATTTTTATTATAAAAAGCTTAAAAGTAATATTTAAGATTTTAATTTTTTTTTTTTTTTTTTTATTTATTTATAAATAAAATATAATATTAAGTTATTTTTTTATTATAAAAAAGTAATAAAAACTATATTAAAAATAGCTTATAAAAACTAGTTTATAATTAAAAATATTATTATTAAAAATATTATATAATTAAAATATATATATAAAAAAAAGATTTATAAATTAAAAATTAATAATATTTTTATAATATAAAATATATAATATATATTTTATAAAATAGTTAATTATTATAAATATAATATTATAAATATAATTATTATAAATTATTTTAAGTAATTTAATAATAAAGTTTATAAAAATTTCTTATTATAAGTATATTAAAATAAGTAATTATATAAGTGTATTATATAATTAATAATATCTTAGCTTAAATTCTTAATAAACTATATATATATTAATATATATTTTAATATTTTACTTTATACTTAATTAATAATAATATAAAGTAATTTTTATAAATATCTTATATATACTTTAATATTTAATTATAGTATTATTATATAAAAGTATAAGAATTTCTTATTATATATTATAAAAAATAAAAACTTATTAATATTATTTTAAAAGTTTATTATAACCTTTTATTTATATTAAAGATTTTTATTTTATATTTAAAAATTTTTAAAAATATATATATTTTTATAATAATAACTTAACTTAAGTATTTTTTTATTAAGCTTATTATAATACTTTTTTTAATATTTTTTTATTATTTAATAATATACTTATAATACTTTATTATATCTTTTATTTATTTATAATTAAAGTTAAATTAAATTACCTTTAAATATAAATTATTTAGTATATTATTAATATAACTTTTTTAGCTTAAAGAATTAACTTTAATAATAATTTAAAGTTTAAGTAATTAATTTTTAAAAATAACTTTAAGTTATAAATTCTTTTTAAACCTTTATTTTTAAAAATATTAATAATAAATTAAAAAAAGTAAAAATAAAGTAATTATATATAATCTTTTTTAAGTTCTTTTTTATATAAATATTATTTTAATATATAAG